TCATATACAGAGATATAACAGGGCAAAGTCTCACCTTCATAGAGCCAATCAGCAATGCCGTTATAGATGATGCCCTCCTTCCCAGATGAGGTCAATCTCAGAGAGTTACTCCTGACGTCCGACTGATAGTAAATATTATTCTCAAATATGTACACCTACACACACACACACACACACACACACACACAGAAGACATTTAAAAAGCGAATCTCGATCGTGCACAGTAGCATTTCACACTTTTCACAAATTACAGGAGGTCTCAAACTCAAAATACTAAAATACTTGGTTGTTTTTTAATTTAGTGTTATTGAATGTGCTCTGACACACTGCTTACCTTACTCTAAAAACATGATATGAACATAACTGGACCATACGCACACAATGTAGAAATTATTAAAACAACAAATTAAAGAACTAGTACATTTAGTGTTATAGATTGTCTCTCTGAAATCAACAGCTCGAGTGTTTAAGGAGTGTGTGTGTGTGTATCTGTGTGACAGCAGGGCTATTAACCACCATAGATATCGATAAACAATAATGTCCCCACAATATTTGATACTCTTGATGCTGCTCTGCTGCACTCCTTAATACATCGGGCCTACTATGATATAAGACTATATAGCCTATAATAAAAGATAATGAATTTTAAACCTGAAACAAACATAGTTTTATTCAAAGATCAACAGTCTGTTGTTAGTCTTTAGTCTGCCACAAAAAAACAACATTAACCCTCTGATGGTCCTCGGTCACTTCTGACCGAATAATTTTCTGTTTTGAATTATTAAAAATCACAGCTTCATCGGAAGGTTATGATACTTGGTGACTATTTTGGCATTTGGTATGTGAATACAAAAAAAATTGAGGTCATGATCCGAGCATGCTAAGCGGTCCTAAAAAAAAATAGTCACACTCGTGGTCTTCGGTCAGAAATGACCGACCCATAGGAAATGAATGGGAAATTTACAAAAACACAAAAATTCACATTATTTTATTTATTTTTTTATTTAATTTTTTAATAAGAAATAGTTTTTGAGATTGTTTCAATTATATATTCAAATCCACCAAAAAAAAGCCTCTCCATAGAGGGCTGCACATGCCATCTAGTGGTTACACAATGATTCTACGCTTTTTCTCTATACAGTCCCTCCAGGATTTCACGATTTTTTTTTGTGATTTTTGCGATCAAAATGACTGATTTTGTGGTGGTAATTTCCAAAAATTTGTGAAAAAATGTGCGATTTATATATAACATTTACCATAATAGTATTCAGTCCTTCCAGAAAAACGCAGAGTTTTTTTGTGATTGTTGCGGGCAAAAATTGATTGATTATGCGGCCCGTTTTCTTTAAAAATGATATGGAATATGCGGGATATTTATGCAATTTTATGCGATGAAATTGCAGGAATTTGCAAAAATTGAGGGAACTTGCAAAAATTGCAGTTTGATGAAAAAGAGAAAAAAAGTGATTCCCCCAACACCCTGTTCTCACTAGGCTAATGTAAGAGTCATTTCTTATTACTTCCTTTGATAAACAAGCATACTACATCATAGAAAGTGCTGGGAATATTTAATTTCTCATCTTGTTTTATTTCAGACTGTAACGAGTGTAAATAAGGCGTGGCCCCTTTAAGAGCTGCGCGCTCCTGTTGAACTCTCTGCAGTGTTGTATTATATGTGCGCCTCGAACACCCAGTGTGTGCTACTTCTTTTATCTTATGTTGTTTATTAAGTAACGATGTGACGGTAGAACGTGTGACAGACAGTTATACGAGTTCGATTTGTGAGATGTCAATCTCCTCCGTGAGTCTGTCTGGAGTCGCGTAATTGCGTCACTTCATAACGTTCCCATGGAAACAGGGGGAAATGGCTGCTCTTGTGTGACGCAAACGCAACATTTTTCAACTTTCTGCTAAGATACATGTGACTTTTTTGCAACGAAAATGCGAGGATTATGAAATTATGCAAACCCCACATATTTTGCACGGAAATCTGCAATTTATGCGGCGAAAGTGCGGCGTATTTTAAAAAATGCGGCCCCCGCATAAATATGCGGACTTTGGCTGATTTTGCATTGAATTCAGCGATCGCATAATCGCGTTTTTCTGGAGGGACTGTCTATAGTAGCCAGATGGTGCTAATTTTCTTCAAAAAATATTTTTTATCTGAAGGCCTAGACTCTATATTAAACTAAAATACTGCATTACTAATAAAAAAAATTTTTTTTTTATATATATATATATATATATATTTTTTTTTTTTTCATTGAAAAAATAGACTATAAATATTGCATAAATATTAATAAATTCAATCAAATTGTCTCAAAATACTAAATTAAAAAGAATAAATATTATAGAACAAAAATAAATTGCATTGGTTTTACTGGGATGGAAGAAGTTTCATTTTTAGGCCTCCGGTCACTTCTGACCTGGAAGGCCCAGGACGTGACTTATAAAGGAAGACCATCAGAGGGTTAAAATCATGAAGTTATGACCTTGGTTGATAGTAGGGAAGCATATCGGTACTTGGTATTGGCAAGTACTCAAATATAAGTACTGGTACTTGGTCTGAAAAAAGTGGTATCGGTGATCCTTAGTTGATAGTAAAAGTTGAGCTCACCAGCTGCTGGCCCTGAACGCCCCACTCCGCATGCTGCAGTTTAGAGTTCAACACCTCTGGGGGATCCAGCTGCAAAACCTCCCTACACACACACACACACGACAACATTCAAACTGACATTATAACAATAGCGTTTACATTTCTGCTTGTCGCAACGCCTGTTCAACGAGGAACCCTCAGGATCCTCCGACTTAAATTCAAGGCTTTTTAATACCGTTTCAAATAAAATTCAATGGCGACGTCGTACCCATTCTGACAGAAGTATAAGGGCAAAAAATCTCAAATCCATAGAAAATAATTATGAACAAGTAGGCTAAAACATTTTATTTAAAGGATCAGTCATATTTAAACACATACGCAACCATAGGCCTATTTCGATAACACACGTTTGGTTTGTGTAAGGCCGTCTAATTCGATCCAAAGGCGGTATTGGATTGGAGACGTGTTTCGTCTTTTCTCATGGCAAAGGTATTTTTAATTATCTTTTTATCTCGTTATTTCATCCGACTCCATAAATGAAAAGGTTTTTCAATGATATCTCTTCATCATTATGTTTGACTATTCCTTTTAACTCTAATTAAAGCTACACTGTGTGATTTTTACCCCCATCTAGTGGTGAAAAGGTATACGACCATCCAGTGAAACTGAGTTTCTGTTCCTCTCAATTCCGATTTCATTTTAACTCCTACGGTGGCCAATGTAGTCCAAGATTAACATGGCTTCCGGTTCGACCTCGTCCATGAGTGTTAACTCAAATGTAAACGCGAAAGGCGAAGCTTATGTCCCTCTTTGGCTAATGTACTTTCAAGATGGAGGAGCAACATGGCGAACCCCTTACCCGTATGTATTTTCAATGGCATATTATACACTCACGAGAATACTTTATTACTTGAAAGAACTTAATGAGCACATATATTTTTGAAAAAACTAAGTGTTTTAGCTAAGAATAAACTAAAAGAGTTACACAGTGTAGCTTTAAAGCACAGTTGAATAATCAAATATAACAATTTATTATGTCAGGTAAATGTATTATAATCAATTGATACGACCTCAAACTTGAATCGTACAGCTCAAGAGGTTCAGACACACACAGTGCTAGCTGTTCATCTATTCTGATTAGCGTGATTTCCTATCTGAAATTAATTTTGAATTAGCCTTGTTACGATACGAACTTAATCCTCGGGAAGGCAAAACAATATAAGACACCTTTGTAACGAAATCCAAGACTTTGTATACCAAATTCAAGGCTTGAAACGATCAAATGTAAGACTTTTTCAACAACTTCAACAACCTGATGCTCTCGTGAACGTGCGTTGAAGGTTAATAATTTGTAAATAAAGTGGTGGATTAAATCGTTTTTTTGCAAACCACAAAACAAACCACTCGCGTCGCTTCATAAAATTACGGTTAAACCACCGGAGTCACGTGGATTACGTTTATAATGTCTATACTACCGTTCCGGGGCTTGAAAGTGGTAGTTGCGTAGACTGTCAATGGAGGGACAGATATCTCTCAGATTTCCTTAAAAAGATGGATGGACGAAAGTCTCACGGGTTTGTAATGATATGAGGGTGAGTAATTACTGATTTTTGGGTGAACTAACGAGCTATGTCTACTTTTTAAAACAAAGAAAGAAGTGATGGCAGGATGATGCGGGAAACTATATTCATGCGTTGTGCGCATGTTAAAATATCAAATCCGATTTTAATTTTATGACATATAAATGCGCATATGAATAACATTGTTTGGGGTTTTTTTGACGCTATTGTCTTCTATGTCAAAACTCATTTCATAATTGCTGCATTTTACACAGTTATTGAACTGAACTGTATCAACATTGACGGGTGAGTCCTCCTCTCTCATTAGGACTTAAATAATGACACACTTTTCAGCTCATTTCACATGGTTTACCCCAGAACACCTGGTGCAGGAAAGGCATGTTTAAACACTGAATTTGATTGAGCATCTGAGAGAACAATAACAGATCTTACTCCACCTGGTGTGAATGTTGTATATGATGTAGGACGCCGTGAATGAGTGCCGGTAAACCTGCAGTCAGAAAACACAACAACAACAACGACGAAGATTAAACCAAACGACCTTCGAGAAAGACCTTCTTATTCATAAACGCATAAATAAACCATATTAATAGGATAAGAAGTTTGTGCACAGGAAAAAAAAAAAAATCCTAAACATAAAAATATCTAAACATCCTTTAATCAAGACACATTTACCCATATAATAATTCAGATATTAACTTTTTCATGCTCAAACCACAACATTACACACTAAAGACAGGGATAAAAACATAATAGGACCCCTTAAAAAAATGCAAACTTTCGCAAACATCACACACCTGTTTAACATTGTAGGCGAAAAGCACATGCTTCATGTCCGGGCTTAAAGAGTATTTGGTGGCTTTAAAAGTGTCCTGGAAAAAAGCAGAAAACATGGATGTCATCTGCACTAAACATTCACATCCCCAAAACTACAGGCCTTTTTTATAATTTATATAAATTAGGGCTGTCAAACGATTAATCGCGTTTAATCGCATCCAAAATAAAGGTTTGTGTTTACATAATATATGTGGGTGCACATTTTATATATATAAATACACACATGCTTGCTTGTATATATTTAAGAAATATTTTCATGTATATACATTTATATTATAAATAAATATCAATATTTTATATATAAATAATATTAATATATATTATTTAATAATATTAATAATAACAAAATATATTTTTCTTAAATATACATGCATGTGTGTGTGTGTGTATTTATATATATATACACTAAATAATTATACACAGTGCACCCACATATATTACGTGAACACAAACTTTTATTTTGGATGCGATTAATCGCGATTAATCGTTTGACAGCCCGAACATAAATTAACAGGATTTTTAAATAATTTCTATAGGCTAAAACTGATTAATCGCATCCAAAATAAAAGTTTGTGTTTACGTAATATATGTGGGTGCACTGTGTATAATTATTTTGTGTGTGTGTATTTATATATATATACACTAAATAATTATACACAGTGCACCCACATATATTACGTGAACACAAACTTTTATTTTGGATGCGATTAATCGCGATTAATCGTTTGACAGCCCGAACATAAATTAACAGGATTTTTAAATAATTTCTATAGGCTAAAACTGATTAATCGCATCCAAAATAAAAGTTTGTGTTTACGTAATATATGTGGGTGCACTGTGTATAATTATTTTGTGTGTGTGTATATATATATATATATATATATATATATACACCATACCATCTTCTTCCGCTTATATATATATATATATATATAATAATACACACATGCATGTTTATTTAAGAAAAATATATTTAGTTAAATATATATATATATATATGTATAATATTATTATTAAATAATATATATTAATATTATTTATATATAAAATATTGATATTTATATATAAATCTATATACAGTATATACATGAAAATATTTCTTAAATATATACAAGCATGTGTGTGTATTTATTTATATATATATATATGATGTAACGGTCACCAGGTGGAGTGCCCTTGAGAGTCACCAGAGGGCACTCCACACCAGATGTTCATGTTTCCCTCACAACTACATTTCCCAGAACTCACTGCCCGGACTCATCACTGATCACATTCACCTGTACCTCATTCACTGATTGCATTCACCTGTGTCTCATCCTGTTAGTGTGTCTATATATACCTTGTGTTCACATTCAGTGTTTGCGAAGTCTTGTTTAAGTGTTACACTGCAATTCTGAGCGTTTTCCGTGTTTGGTTTCTGGTTTTTGACTTTGGATTGTCTTTTGGATTTTGATTATTGCTGCCTGCCCTGACCTCTGCCTGTTTCCCGGATTCCCACTGTGTATCCTCCATTGTCCTGTCTGCTGATTCTCGACCCTGCCTGTACAACTATTCTTATATTAAAGCTGCATTTGGATCTTCATCTACAAGCCTCAGAGCAGTTCGTAACATATGAAGAGTTCAGATGCAAAAGCCTCTAAATGCCATTTGAAATTTTCTTCTAAAATGACCATTTTTATCAAGCTTGTATATTTAAGTTCAGTAATTTCACTTAAATAACAATTAATAGGTAATCTTCATTGCCATTTAAGTGAAATTACTGAACTTAAATATACAAGCTTGATAAAAATGGTCATTTTAGAAGAAAATTTCAAATGGCATTTAGAGGCTTTTGCATCTGAACTCTTCATATATATATATATAAAATGTGCATCCACATATATTATGTAAACACAAACTTTTATTTTGCATGCGATTGATCGCGATTAATCGTTTGACAGCCCTAACATAAATTAACAGGCTTTTTAAATAATTTCTACAGGCTAAAAATGATTAACATTGTGCAAAACGTTTGAGCTCAAATGTATGTTCAGCCAGTGTTTCTACATTAGTGAATGCTTTATTTGGCCAAATGCAAGAACACAAATGCATAAAAAAACAAAAAAGCACCCGGTCACGCTTTATATTAGGGTCCAATTCTCACTATTAACAGACTTTTGCTTTAATAAACTCCCAATCACTGCTTATTAATAATTAGAGCAGCTAATATCCTAGTAATATGCATGATAATAAGCAACTAGTCAATAGTGAGAATTGAACCCTAAATGAAAGTGTTACCAAGCATACGGTACATTAAGTTATTAATATTCCACTTGTACGACAACCTTGATCAGAATGATATCGGCTCAATCTGGCATGTTTCATCGCGTTATCACCACAAATATTGGTGTCATTTCAGTATGATGGGTGAAGATGTTCATTTTCCAAGGCTGAATACTGTATGAGTAATATTAACTCACAAATGTGACGTTCTTCAGGACGATCTCAGTCTCGTTCGTGAGGATGTTAAACCTGATCACATGTCCATTGTGGTTTCTGTAGATAACCTCAGATTCTGACAAAGAGTAAAAAAATAATAATAATTAGTTAGTCAATGTCTCCTATCTGTGATCAAGAAAAATATCTGCCAGCGGGGCTGGAAAAATCAACTTGATTCAATTGTTTTTTTGACCCCATTTGCAGATATTTTTCCATGTTGTCTTTCTCTTTCACCTGTGCTCTAGCTTGTGTCCTGATCTATCTTACACAGGCTGAAAGTAAAGCAGGACTGTTCCACTGTTCACATTTATGAGCTGCTCGACGGTTGTAAAGGTAAATTTCCGGTCTGAGACTCTTGCAGAGCTGCAGTGAGGAAAAGCAGACGACACACGGTCAAACATAAAATAGAGTAATGGGTCTCTCAGTCACAAACACAAAACCAGAACAAAGAAGGGGTGTGTGTGCATAAGACTGACATGACGCCTTCATAATCATGACATATGTATGTTTATGACAACTGGCATTGAGTGTCATTTGCTCAATTATGACAATCATAAACATGACATAGCAGATTAATGATCAAACTTAAGAAACCACCTAGCTTTATTGGTTAAAGGGTACATATCATGCTTTTAAATCATTCATTTTTACTTATAAATCATACATTTGTGGTCTATATAAAGCATAACTGCAATGCTTGGGTCTGAATTCCTCATTATTATAGCTCCACAAGCCCCTTTTCTGATGTGCGTCTGTGAGCGACCCGTTTCAAAGCGGCCCCTTTAAATAAAAAGGAGTTGCGTCTTTCCTAGAGTTTGGTATCGTTTGAATTTGAACGATTCTGATTCCGATTCCTTGTTTCGATTCCGGTTCCTAACGATTCTCGATTCCGATTCTTTTAAGAGGCAGGGTCAAAAAAGTTTAGCTAACCTTGCTAACCAACGGCCTTTCTGAAGGAAATACTCCTTCTGGAAAAATACTCCTTTTGTCACAAATTTTGCATTTTGCCGAGATTTCGTTATTTTTAGAAAAGTGAAGCCACACTTTGGACCACCGACGTAAGGTACTCATGTTCGACTCGCGCGGTTATGCCAACACTTCCGGTAGACGCTTCTTCGTTGGTGTTGTTCAGCGGTTTCTTCTTCCGCTCGGCGGACTGTGAATATCGAAACTAGGAATCGAAATTTTAACTTTTGAACGATTCCGGGAAAAACAAAAAGTTAGTCTCGGTTCCAATCGATACTCGATTCTCGATACCCAACCCTAGTCTTTCCCCGCCCACTTTCCAGGTCGATGAGTTCACGGTCGGTTCAACTCCAAGCGTTTGGCCATTATTGTAGTTTGATTAGAGATATACGATTACTATAGCTTCAAAGAACATTTTTAGTCACTCATTAAAGGGTTAGTTTACCCAAAAATGAAAATACTGTCAGTATTTACTCACCCTCATGTTGTTCCAACCCCGTAAGACCTTCGTTCATCTTCGCAACACAAATTAAGATATTTAAGATATTAAGATCGCTCCTGCATACAGTCCATAGGCTTCTTGAGGTACTGGCTCTTGCTGGCCTCGAAAAGTCATTAAAGACATCGTTAAAATAGTCCAAGTGACTACAGGGGCTCAATCTTAACTTTATCAAACGACGAGAACACTTTTGTGCGCAAAAACAAACAAAAATAACGACTTTATTTCAACTATTCACTTCCTTCTCCATGGGCCTGTAGTCAGTTAACGTAGTGTGATTGCGTAAAGCTACGTCACACGTAGGCTCACTACTGGCCGACGCTGGTCATGTGTGTGATGCGTGTGACGTACAATAACAGAAGCTTACGCTATTAAACTAGTAACCTGACTCGCGCAGAGGGAGAAATAAACGAATAGTTGAAATAAAGTCGTTATTTTTGTTGTTTTTTTGCGCACAAAAGTGTTCTCGTCGTTTGATAAATTTAAGATTGAGCCCCTGTAGTCACTTGGACTATTTTAACGATGTCTTTAATGAGTTTTCGAGGACAGCAAGAGCCAGTCCCTCAAGAAGCCTATGGACTGTATGCAGGAGCGATCTTAATATCTTAAATATCTTAATTTGTGTTGCGAAGATGAACGAAGGTCTTACGGGGTTGGAACAACATGAGGGTGAGTAAATACTGACAGAATTTTCATTTTTGGGTGAACTAACCCTTTAACAAAATGTCAACAACGGAAGACTTGTCTATCAAGCCTTACATATTCGAGCCAGAGCGAGCGAGTCGATAAAGACGACGACGAACCTGCAGAACAACGTCATCATATGGATGCAGGGGTATGTAAGTTACATTAAGAATGTTGTGTTATTAGTGAAAGTCGACTATTTCTCTTGTTAAAACAAGCACACTGACAAGATAAATGACTGTGGTCTGATCTTACCACTAAAAATCTGTATTGATAATAATATGATAACTTACGTTTAGAAAGCGTCAGAAAACACAGCAGCTAGTCGATCGAAGTCGAATCGGCAAGCCCTTCTTTATACTGGCGGAGGTTGTTGAAGTGGGAATCCTTGAAGTGCTTCAGGTCACTACATCCAACAACCGAACATTTTGACTTGCCCTCTCGTAACTTCTGCATCATTGAGCTCGGACTACAAAATCGGAGTGAGAAATAATAATGGCGGATTGCTCAAGTGTTGGATCGGTAGTCGATGTCCTTATTTGTCAGTTTCGCTGCAAATACGGTGATGTTATAGTTCAAAAAACGTCATAGAAAACAAAAAAAATGGGAACAGGTTGAAAAATATGACCAAAACAGAATATAAAGATATAAACGAAGCACCTGAAGAGAATAATTTCATCTTTTCTGTACTTATAAACACTCCAAATATACAACAAAATGCATTTAAGGGCTAAAAAAAAGCATGATATGTGCCCTTTAAACTGTCAGGTGGTTGGTTTTGACATTGGCTGTCATGAAGCCATTATAAGTGTGTCATGAATATTTTTCTATATTTTATATTTGTCATTAAAAATTTATAATGGCTTCGTGACAGCCAATGTCAAAACCAGCCACCTGACAGTTTAATGTAATGTTAACCAAGTTTGTTAAGTTTGATCATTAATCTGCTATGTCATGTTTATGATACTGACAGGTTATGATGTATTGGTTCATGTGTAAGACATCTCAAACAATGTCATATTTGCTTTAAAAATCTCATATCTGAGCGAATAATGCCAGTTGTCATAAACATGCATAAAACCTTCTTCTTTTTTATGACATGTGTCATGTTAGTCTTATGCACACCCCTTCAAGTAAAGTGTTACCCAAAACGCATCTGTGAAACTGACTTAAAGAGGCCCTTTTTCGAAGTCTTGATTTGTTTTTTTGGCTCGAGAATGTTTAAAATACACCTTTAAATGTTTAAAGCTTGAACAATAAAAACTGGATCCTCAAGCAAGCTAAAGGCAATCTCACGTGCCGCTAACGGCCCATTTGTCAAACTATTACAGCTTAACAATGCATGAACATAAGCAGATCGGTTTAAAAAGGCTAATCGTCCAGCTTTTTATTTCTTCAAATGCACAGATTTTACATCACTATTTAGTCATTTAGAGTGTTTAGATATGAAGAGTGTTTGTTAACACTCGTTTTGAATGGAGGTGATGTTGTGGCCCTATACTCGCGGCAGGTTTTATATATTTCCAATCGTAATAGAGTTTGCTATTACCAGGCTAGAGCTTCCCTTGCAGTCTTTAAGAAATCCCCACTGATGGACATGAACAGAGTCAAATACCACCTCGCTTTAGTAGGAAATAGCCAACTTCTTTAGTCACAATAGTGTCGAGTCTGTTGACTAGCTGAAAAGAATCATAAATATGGAGAGAATGACGCGATGGGCAATCTGAAAACCTGTGTTTGTAGTCTATAGTATATCAAAGAGGATGACTTTGAATATGAATGTGTTTTAGGCCAAAAGGAGGATAAACCTGAAAGAAAGCTGTTGGCATAGTTTAAAGACTTGACAAAGTACGGTGATTTTCGGTGATAAAACTACTCTTATTAAGAATAAAATAACTGCTCTGTTAAAGGAGTAGTTCACTTTTAAAAAAAAACTTTTGCTGATTTTTGATGAAATTAAGGTTTTTGATGGAAACATTCCAGGATTTTCTCCATATAATGGACTTCAATGGGAACCAAACGGTTCAAGGTCCAAATGACAGTTTCAGTGCAAACTGTTCAAAGGGATTTTTTATTTATTTATTAAATGAGCGATCGTTTCACTTGATAAGACCCTTATTCATCGTCTGGAATCGTTTAAAGCCCTTTGAAGCTGCACTGAAACTGTCTTTTGGACCATGAACTGTTTGGTTCCCATTGAAGTCCATTATATGGAGAAAAATCCTGGAATGATTTCATCAAAATTCGACTGAAGAAAGAAAGACATGGACATCTTGGATGACATGGGGGTGAGTAAATCATCAGCAAAAGTTTTTGTAAAAGTGAACTACTCCTTTAATAACCCTCTGTCGACCCGACGGCCCGTGGGCGGGGATAGTACAATCTGTAGTTTTTCCAAAATCTGACGTAAAATGTGCGGTTAACACGGAGAAAAGAGTAAACATTGTTCATTTACATACACTACCGACAACACAAAGTGGGTTGAAAATTACAAAATGACACTTTAAGGAATTAGACAGCCATCTGATCTGTGCATTAGTGTGTGTGCAGCCTATTAGATCTCCCGACGCCTATGATGTCATCGGCAATAGCTGAGAAAGTGAAAAATCACTCGCTATGAAATATTTATTCTCTTGTAGTCTACAGATGCGATGCGTTCACTGGTTCTGTGGTTCACACACACACACGGGGTCACATCGGATCAGCTGCGTCGCGTCCGTGTCCGAGACGAACGGCGTTAAGCTGAAGACTGGAGTGACTGCAGGACTCTGATAAGCGTGGGTCTGTGTTGTAGCTGAACTGCATCACACACACACACACACACACACACTGAAATATTCATGCTGCTGCTGCTGTTGCC